ATAAAAACAATAAAACAAACAAAAAAAAAAAAACATTGAAAACCCCTGCTCGAATGTATTCTGTGTTTTCTGGTAGTACTTTAATTACAGGACAAGCATCTAAGTGTTGCATGTTTTGATACTATCACTTCATTATAACCATCCTACTGCAGAGATGTAGCATAAAATGCTCGGTTTGAATAAATTAATCAAACAAATTTGAATAAATTCTTAAGTCCTGCGTTCAGTCCATGTTTATGTTATGATTCAGAAGGCCACTTCGTTTCCATAAAACATTAGCTTTCAAGCACTTGTATTCCAGCAATAAGGCACTGACTCTTTCATAAGASGGACATAAAAGTGTGAGATATGCCAAGCATTATGATTTTAAAGTTTAAAGCACAACACGTCCCGCTTTGTAATTAAAAGCCAGCGATGGATRGAGCTACAACTGGTGGCAGCTGTCAAAAGTAAAAGCTGAATCTTCAAGTGTCTCATTAATGTGAGTGCTCAGATTATGTAACATGCTTTTTAATGCTTTTTCACCATATCAACCACATCTATTAATTCAGCTCAAACACATTATGGAGCAATGCATCTAGTCATTTATTCAGCAATGCATCTAGTTTAAAGTGGGGGGAAAACAAAAATGAGGAGGACTGAGATGATGTTTGACTTACCAATGTACTGGTTCCACTCTGGATCCAGATCAGCTTGATTGGCCAGGCAGCCCTTCATCACATTGAAGCAGTAGTTTTTGCAGGGTTTTACTCCTGACGTGCCCTGACAGAAGGGGCAGTAGAGCATCTTTGTTAGCGCTTTTAAACACGCTGGAGTACTGCTCACCTGTTAAAACAGAGCAAAACAGACGTCATCAGAGAATGGACCTTTTACTGACAATTCTAGTCTGTCATTTCCTGTTTTTTTGTTCTTTTTTTTCTATGAAATATTACCAAAATATGAAAACGTTACTAGAATAATCACTTGCATCAATGTCTTATAATGTTCAAACATTCAGTCTGTTGTGTGATATAAAATGCAATAGAACCACTTGCTCAACAAAAAGCAAAACATAACTGATAAATAAAAGGAAATTACAATTATTCCTGTCACCATCACCTAATCTTTGTACAATCAGAAAAGACAAAACAATTTAAGATGAGTACAGTGTCATATATTGGTTATCTCAAAAAAAAAATATGTATGGTGCTGAAAAGTTCAGTAAGTCAAAAATGAATTTGACTATTTTAGTTTAACGCAAAGAAACAGTGCATTTATTTGTTTCTTGTTTTGCCAAATCTGACAGAGAAAAAAAAAGGACTGCATGAAAATTGACAGTCTCCCAAAAAGCTTCTTAACTAAGGTCAGATATTAATTTGCTGTTTAATGATATGAATTTCTCACTGACAA